CAGACAACCTATGAGGCAAGTCTCGAGGCTGATACAAAACACCATCGACATCGTCATGTTCGATAATCTCTACGCATAACTAGACTGTAAAGGTCTCATTGGAATACATGTCGTACGAACCTTAACTCTAAAAATAACTAAGAAAGGCTTGATCCCTTCAAGAGGATACGTAGGCAGCCTTCACTGGGCGCAGCCCCAATCCTACCACTTTCCATTCCAATGAGAATCGGAAGACCACTTTCAACGGAACTTTTCAACCATAAATTCTGCCTAACTAGTCTAAAATTGTCTAACAACTCGTTATAACCTCACGACTAAAAGCTCAAGGTTCTAACGAGCTAGGGGGCTAACTGTTGGGGTCAAAATCAGTCACGATGGAATCTATGGCTAAAAGTCCCAGAAAACGCATATAAGAAAACTGTAGACTTTCTACGGAGATACGAAGTTACGGAAAACTCGTATCAAAGTATGAAATAATTAAAAGACCTCCTTGTTGGGGTCGAAAACGGTAATCTTGAAATCAACGTCTACGATTACTTTTCCTTATATTCTCCGAAGGAATATCAGTTCGAGAAGACAAGAAACGACTGAAGCCGGACAGCCGGACAGCTCGCCAAGACGGCGAGCTGGACGGACCAGCCCAGCTCGCCGTCTTGGCGAGCTGACCACGGCCAATCAGCTCGCCCAGCCGGCGAGCTGGCCGTGCCTAACCAGCTTGCCTGCTGGGCTAGCTGAACCATCCCATCCAGCTCGCCCAGCCGGCGAGCTGGCCATGCTTAACCAGCTTGCCGGCTGGGCGAGCTGAACCGTCCCGTCCAGCTCGCCCAGCCGGCGAGCTGGCCGTGCCTAACCTGATCGCTGGCTGGGCGAGCTGAACCATCTCATCCAGCTCGCCTAGCTGGCAAGCTTGCCGTGCCTAACCAGCTCACCGGCTGGGTGAGCTGAAACGTCCCGCCCAGTTCACCGTCTTGGCGAGCTGAACCACACTGTCTAGGCCGCTGGACCGGCGAGCTGACCAACCCGAACCTTACCATCCGCATTGCCCGGACATAAGGCATATGTCCCTCGACTCGATCGTACTCTTATCTGTGATCGGAACATCTCTCGTTTCGTTTCGATTCGTCTTATTGTTGGAGTTTTACGATAAAAACCGCTAAAGATTTATTTTCTCGTAAAACCTCTAGTAAATCGTATAAATGGCAACAATTAAACAAAACACCGGACATTGCCGAACTCTACGATTGACTCGAGGTTTTTTATAAAATGGCATCGTATCATGGAACGATCCCGTCTAAAATCGTAAAACGGCTAAGTCACAAAACGGCTCGGAAAGTCCTAAAACGCGATAAAGGCTCACTCACGACTTTAGACGAGTTCCAGCCCAAAGATATGATGACGGTTTACCCATTATTTACAGGAATGGATAAATGTCAAGTTTGAAGACAAAATAGAAGTTTTCCAAGGAAAAATAAGAAGATCGAGATAAATAGAAGATTTCTGATAAACACGAATCGGGGAAGAAAAGGAAAGACCAACCGCCTAGAAGAGGAGTACATAAGCACAAGGTCGAAGTCAAGAGGAAAAAAACATTTACAACTTTTTATAGACTTAGAACTTTCTGCACTTAGAAACTTAGGCTTTATTCTCGACAAGTTCTGTTTCTATGACTAGCACTCAATTACTAGACGAAATCGCCCAGGCAGTTCGATCTCTTGTCCAGCTCTATCAATTGAACTACGTTCGGCTTGATCCTCGAAAGGGGTACGTACACAGCCTTTCATAAGATTCAGTCCGAAATCAATCAAAACCCTTTTTGTATCTTTTTCGTCTTTTGTTATTGAGTTGCGACTCAACTAGGTTTAAGGTTTGCCGTTGCTAGAACTAGATAACTCGCTGACATCTCATGTGGCCAAAGATTTTGTAATCTCTTGTAATAATCGGAACGCTCTTATGCAGATTTGAAATAAGATCTACTTTCTTTATAATTTCGTTTTATCATGTTTTTCATATTTTCCGCATTTATTTGGTTACTTGTCGTTGGCTCTCGCAGAGATCCGGGACCTCTGGAAAATTAGGGTTTTTCTAAGTTTCCTTATTTTACAAAAATCGACAGTGCGAATTTCGGTTTTCACAGCCACACTCGCAGCTGCATTGCTTCTTCCTTTTGCTGCTGAAGGACCTTGACTCTGTGATGATTTGTCTTGATTTTTCCCAGGTGTTGCTAAAGGACACGGAATCTCAGATGATCTGCTTTTTCCCACTGTATCTGAAAGACACCGAATCTAAGATGCTCTGCTTTTCCCACTGTATCTGAAGGATCCGTAATATTAGATATTTTTTTTCTTGATATGAGCAATCTCATTGTTGACCTTGTCAAAACGCTCTTGGATGTACTTCTGTACCAGTGCCTTAAAAGAGGTGAAAAAACCCTCAATTAAGGTCTTCATTTCACCAGAGACAACACTGTTATGTTCAGCTGCCCGTTGACTAAACAGTTCTTTCTTACGAGACTCAGCACCATGATCATTTAGCTTACACTTGCCTCTTTTTTTCCAAACCAGTCGGCTTCTCTGCAACAACAGCCAGTTCCTCCACAAGTGTTTCTGTGACATCTTCGACTTCAACATCGCCTTCTAAATCAGACATGACCATATTTCTAGGCAAAGGCTCAGCTTCCCAAACGAATTGCTTCCAGTTATGTTTGGCTTTGATCATAGAAACAATACGACCAAATCTTTTGTTGTTGTTTTTCATCTTCTCTTTTGAACTCAGGATTATCCATCTCATTCGACTTCCCAGTAGATGATAGAAACGGGAACAGCTCTCCCTGGCAAGAACAAACGAAACAATAAGAAACTTAGTTCGATTATTGAAATCAATATTAACAGAAGAAAAATAATTACCTTGTCAAAGTGGGACCAGAGGCTGATGATATCTTGGTATGATACTTTTCCTTTTCCTGTCTAATTCCTACATCTCACTTTCACCACGTTTTGTTTTTATTTTCTTACCCACCATAGTACCAATGTCTGGGATTACCTCTATAATCCATATCTGAAACGCATATGATAATCCATCTAAAACGTAATTGTTTTTCAGATGTAAATCTTCCCTTGCTCTTAATATTGATGCATTCAGCTCATCATAAGCACGAAGACCCCCAAGGATACATCCTCAATCTCTCAATATCCATCACCAAACGGATGTATTCTCGAGGGATATACACTTTCCAATCCTTAGTCATCATGAATCCATGTATAATACACAGATACGCTAACCTCACCCTGTCCACATACGTCCACTCGTTACAAATTTGAAGGAGCTCATCCCTTGTATTGTATAAGTTGATGTTTGAATTTTGCCTCATCGCCTTGCTCCAAAACCCCTTAGTCATGATGAATCCATGTATAATACACAGATACACTAACCTCACCCTGTCTACATATGTCCACTTATCACAAAATTTAAGGAGCTCGTCCCATATAATGTATAAGTTGATGTTTGCATTTTGCCTCAACGCCTTTCTCCAGAACCCCTTATCATCATTCCAATGATTGAAGTCTATGTCAGGTTCTTCTTTGAACTTCAATCCAGTCACAATATGAACATCAAACAAAATATAACTATCTCACATTTACTAAGCTATTAGATAATTCAAAACTACATAAACACACAATTCAAACAAAATATAACTCAATCTCACAAGCAAACTATTAGACATTCAAAATAGCACATAAAAACACAATTCCTCGCAAAATATAGTTCAGTCTCACAAGAAAACTATTATTCATTCAAAATAGCACATAAAATCACAATCAACTACCATATGTGTTTTTCTCTAAACGCATAGTCTAGATACAACAAAGAAACAAAGTCAAAGCTATCCACAAAAAACGACTGAGTCATAACTACATAAGTGTCTTGCAGTAACTAAAATGATCGACTTTACATGTGTAATTGCAAACAAAAAAAATTGATCCCAAACAACATGTAAAACATAATACAAAGACATTCAATTCAAATAACAAATCCGATACAAAACAACATGTAAAATCGATCTCATTTACAAGTTGAACTCATTAGCCTTTTCAAGTATTTTAGGAATTTAAAACATAATACAAACCCAATACCAAATCAACTCAATAACAAATTACAATCAACTCACATTTAACTCAACCACAAACTAAAATCAAAACCATAAACATGAATAAATCCGTGTGTTTTAAACAATGCAATTTCTTTCTAGTACATGCACATAAACAAAATGAAAAAAAAGGAATTTCGAAACTCTAATCTTAAAGTTTTGGGAACCGAGATGAAGGAAGAGCAAAATAAGAACAATATGAAGCTAATCGTCCTTTCCAGCGAAAAGAAGCTATTCTCGAGTTTGAACAACTCCCATAACGATCGGTGGAGAGTACAAAGTGATTTCAATCGGTCGTTCTCAAAGAGAAAAAACGAAGGAAGGACGACGACGGAGAGTGTGACGACTATTTTAAGCTCTCTGGCGAACTTAGACGAGCAGAGAAAGAGAGTAACTATGGCGAAATCAAAATTGCCTCTTCTTCGGTTGAGAGAGAAGAGTCCAGAAGAAAAATGTGTTATGTTTTTTTTTTAACTTCTTTACCTTTTGCTATGTGTTAAATTAATAATTTCCCTAGTTTTATTTATTAACTATATGTTAAAGAAAAAGACAAAACATGATATTCATTATTGTTTATATTATAGGGACAAAGATTTGAGATTTAATTCTAAGGGGACAAGACTGTAGTTATTTTATTTCTTATCAGCAATTTTCTCAATTTTTTTTGTAAGCTTCAGAATCTAATTGTGTAATTAATTTTACATTTTGTGTCAATGCAAGGTGGTTCATAATCTAGTTGTGTAATTAATTCTAAGGAATTAGGGGTTTAAGATACACAAACAAAACTAGAGGATAAAGTACTAAATATTACTACTACTATAAAGGACTAAAAACTAATTTAGCAGAATCACGACTCGTCCGGTTTAGGGAGTTCTTCTCCCACCACTGCTTACTGTTATCGCCGGCGTTCTGCAACTCCCCAAAGAAGCAAAAATGCACGGAGACGCTACGAATTGGAACGAGGATGAGTACAGAGAAGCGATTCTCAAGGAACGAGAGATACAGACGCGCACCGTCTTTCGAACCGCCTGGGCTCCTCCGTCGAGAAACCCTAACCCAGACGCCTTTGTCGTCGCTTCCAGCGACGGAACCCTAGCTTTACACTCGACGAACTCGCTTGTTTCCCAAACGGCGGCGTTTGGGTACTCGAAAGGTGAGGACTTTATGGTGGCTGTACCTGAGGGATTGGTTAGGGCACACGAAGGACCAGTGTATGATGTCAAGTTCTATGGAGAAGACGAGGATGCTTTGCTCCTCAGGTAGATCTAAATCACTGTTCGTTTGTTAATTCAAAGCTCTGAGTTTTTGATGTGAAAATTTGTGTAGTTGTGGGGATGATGGTAGAGTTAGAGGATGGAAATGGAGAGACTTTGCTGATTCTACAGAGAACCATGTCAAGCCATTACTTGAATTGACTAATCCACAACACAAGTGAGTCTTGATCACTCTCTGTTACTGCAAATCCATTTCAATAAGGTGTCAAGTGTCAGTCACCATTGTTATTTTCTTTTCTCATAGAGGTCCTTGGGGTGCTCTTTCGCCAATGCCCGAGATCAATGCCATTTCTGTTGATCCTCAGGTTTGAACTATATTTCTATTTTGTAGTGTTGTGCTTCTCATTTCTTGCTTACAAATTTCCATAATTTTTCTTTTATGATATAGTCAGGAAGTGTATTTACCGCTGCTGGTGATTCTTGTGCATATTGTTGGGACTTGGTATGTATTTTATCTTTGTGGATGTCTACTGCTGTACTAAAGCAACAGATTTGATGATGATATATATCTTAACTTCCCAAAATATCATTTGGTGTGTAACCATGATTTCTGTAGGAGAGTGGTAAAATAAAAATGACCTTTAAGGGGCACTCAGACTATCTGCATTGTCTAATTTCACGTAGTTCTGCAAGTCAGGTAATGGTGTGCCAATAAATAATTACAAGTGCAGCTTCATATTCGTATCATGAGTTCCACGTTTGGGGTTTTGACTGATCCTAGTAAGTCTCTTGCACCAGATATTGACGGGTTCGGAGGATGGGACGGCAAGAATCTGGGGTATCTTTCTGGTTCCTTAGTTCTATTTCTCCAGTAATCTCTAGTACTATTGTTTGGATCATCTGTGATTATAAAAACTTTTGAAATCATTTAAGTCTTAATGTTGGTGCTTGGGATTTAATGATCCTCAGTTTTGTTGAATGCTTTCTCAAAACTCAATTCGTAAGCCCTGTGTTTTTGTCAACCAGATTGCAAAACAGGGAAATGCATTAAAGTGATTGGTTCCCAGGAAAAAAAGTCCCGGTTTCGCATTAGTTCGATGGCTCTCGATGAAAGTGAAAGCTGGTTGGTAAGATCGGCTATTTCCTTACCTTGGCCCCTGATCATTAAGAAGTTTTAAGACCTGATTTTCTCCTATTTTCAGGCGTGTGGACAGGGTAAAAATATTGCTGTATGGAATCTTCCTGCCTCAGAATGCGTATCAACAATATTCTCCACAGCACATGTGCAAGATGTGATGTTTGATGAAAAGCAGGTAAGCAGAACTAGATTAAAACCTAAGCAGTATAATCTAAAGATTGGGAAGCTGTAGGTGTTATTTGTGTACCAAGGTTCAATAGGGTTTTGTAGTATATCAACGCAGCTGAAACTGATGAACAAAACAAAAAAATTATACTAAACTTGAAACACTGATGAACTCATAGTCGTAATTCCTTTGAAAAGGTAGAACATTATGTTTGTTTCTTTTTGTTTGCTTGTGTTGTTTCACATAAACTAACGAGTATCACCCAAACAGATATTGAGTGTAGGAGCAGAACCACTTCTAAGGCGTTTCGACTTAAATGGAGCTTTACTTTCTCAAATTCAGTGTGCTCCTAGTTCAGCATTTTCAGTTTCTTTGCATCCAGCAGGAGTAAGTTTCCTCGTATCCTTTTCTCAACACGCCTTTCTTTTCTTTTCACCCCTTGTCCTATATTCAGTTTATTTTCATCCAAGCCTCAGCAATCGAAATATCCAGAGATAAAGCTATGTTATCCTTGTATATGCTATTGTGAAGTTGTTTCCTCTTTTAGGAGTATAAGCTCCTGATGTTTAACTGTTTGGTCCAATGCTTGTGTATGTTACAGGTAGTTGCTGTGGGAGGCTATGGAGGTCTTGTTGATGTCATCTCTCAATTTGGAAGCCATCTCTGCACGTTTCGTAGTAGCTCATTGTGAATCTCTTTTAGAGTTCTTCGGTTTCGCTCAATAACCCTAAAAGAGATATTAAAAATAAGGATGCAAAAGGTTTTTTGTGAGCCAGATTATTAGCCTTTCTTAGGTTCTTGTCCCTGGAAAGTAGTCCAAAATTTCGTCCGTTTCACAAATGTCCTTTGTGGTTAGTGGAAAGTGTAGTGTTTTTGGTCCGGTTCGATTTAATTTGACTATAGACCAAATTATTGAGACCGATTGGTGGTTCAGTATCGAATTGAAAGTCTTTGGAATGGGTCGGTTTAGTCTGATAACTTAGATATGGTAGTATGAATGTGAGAAACTTAATGAACTTTCCTTTTGACTTTCAATTGTTGGGGACTCCTATCCTCTTTAGATAAGTGTGACGAATATATATAACTAGACTAATAGTTTACCATTTTTATAAAAAAGAAAAAGTTGACAAAGTTCAGATTCAAGGAACTATAAATATGAGTTAATTACATTGCCACTTACTACATGTAAGACACTTTGTTATGGGACATGGATAAATTAGACAGTTTTAAACTTAATAGTGATGTGTAAATGGGTGATATGTGGATCCGGGATATGTGGATAGGTGAATGGGTCATGTGTGGACGAGAGATATGTTGACGGGTGATGCGTAAATGAATAAAACTAATAACAACATAGAAAAACATAAACACTCATCCACATATACCATTCCATGCTTATATGTCTAAATGTAGTTATCCACGTTTTTGTTCTTAATGAATGATACGTGGACGGGTTAATGAGTGATGTGTAGATTAGGTGATGTATGGATTGGTGATGTGAGAGATAAATAGACTGGAAAACATAAATACCCATATAGATGTATCCTTCCATGCTTATATGTTTAAATATAATCATCTACGTTTTTCAAACATTCACATATCATTCATCAATAACATAATCATTGGATACATATACATGTATAGATTTTAAAATATAACAAAAAAACATAATAAAGTGAATATCAAATTATTGAGAATAAAAAAATATATAATTTATTATATTAATTATGTATCTTTAATTTAAAAATAAACAAACATGAAATATTAAGAAGTAAGAGTAAATAATTATGGAAACACACTTTCTCTTTCCTTTCTTTCATCTCATTAGGGATAAATCCGTTATTTGTCCCATGAAAAAGTATCTTGCAAGTGTATTGTGCATTTGGATGTAATTGAAATGTGAGTTGATTACAGAATAAGACACTTTGTTCTCTTTTTTAGCAGAATAAGACACATCACACTTGAGGAGCACTTTCTCCTACTCTCCTCCTATGTGTTTATACACATATGCCCTTTTGGTGTGGTTAAGAAATGTAAGAGATGAGTTAGTTTTAATAGTATAATATTGTGTCTGTTTTATTCCAACGAAAAGAAAACAAAAGGCTGGTTAGATCTATTTTCCCACAATTTCTTTTTATATTATTATTCTTCCACCTTAAGTTTTTATTTGATTTTTCTCAGTTTTGAGATATATAAAAAACTAAAAATTATTATAATAAATTATAATTTATTTTTCTCTGTATTTTAATATCCATTTTATATATATATTGTATATTTCAAAATTATATATAAAATTTTGTAGATATGGATAAAAAAAATGTGGACATAAAAATGTGGATATGTTCAGATCTTACAATGCAATATCGTGAATTAGTTAGAAATCTCATATGAGTTTTCTTTGAAAAAAAACATGAAGATTGGAGAAGCTTGGACATAGAACATGTAAATTAGATATATGTGGATACAAGGATTGTGGACAGTTTATCTTTGAAAAAAAACATGGAGATTTGAGAACTTATGAGTTTAATTAGAAAACTATGAGTTTTCTTTGAGAAAATAAACATGAAGATTGGAGAAGTTTGGACATATAACATGTAGATAGGATAAATGTGGACACAAGTACTGTGGACAGTTGATATTTATAACATTGTCCTCTCATGTAGTAAACACAAAAAAAAACAAAAAAAAAATCACAACAATGAAAGGTAACCTTTTTTTATCAATGTAGAAGAATAACAAATTCAATTTCATCGGCCAAAGTAGATGATTGAAGGTAGAAGAAGCGAAGAATGAAGATACCCAAAAAAATAAAAGCTCTTCTTTTGAAGGAACGAATAGAGATACCCAGAAAAACAAAAGCTCTTCTTTACGGATTCGTGGAAGACTGGTGGAGATTCCGGTGAGTCGTTGTCACTCACGCACCACCAAATGAGTCACCACACCACTTATCCACCTCTCCTATGTCCACACCACACACTTTTATCATTGGTGTTGTCTAGTCATGTTTAGACGGTGGTCAAGTTGGTTGTCCCTGAAAAAAATGGAGAAAATAAAATAATAAAATTAAGTTTGACAAATCTAATTAAAAGAAACAGTGAAATCAAGTTTTTGGTAGGAGAAAAGTAAACAAAATCTCTTTAAAAAATGGTGTTCTCTGGGTTTGAATCGAGAAACTGAAAGTGTAGATCAGGAAAAAACTCACATATGTAACACATAATATAAACATATACTACTGGATCTGAACATAATATGTGTAAATTAGGAAAAAAACAAACTTTGCATACCTTGAATTGGAAGGATAGAAAAAGTGACAATTGATTTGGAAGACCAAAAACGGCGGTGTTATCTGCGTTGCGTTGGGTCTAGATCCTCAGACTTCTCAGATGTCTTGCAACTCTTTACTTTTTTCTTTGGTTTCAGTTTTGTCATAATTTGTTGTGGGAGTTTCTGAGATATGGTGGATATGAACGTGAGGAAGAAGAGAGATATGAAAGAGAAAATAGGATTAAGAATCTGGAAAAGGGAAAGTGAATATGTTTTTAAATTAAAGTAACTACAGTTAGATGTCTCTGGTTTAGTTAGGTGAGCTCATTGGTTAGTTTGAGGGTATGAAAGACAATAAACACTCAGAAAGTGTCTGGCCAGTGTAAAGTGTTTTAATGTGTAATTCATAAGACAGAAAGTGTCTTAGAAGGTAAAAAAATCTTGAAATGTGATAAAGTGCCTCTTGATGTAAACAAATTTACTATATGAATAGAATGAAAAAGGCTTATGTTTGCTCACAATAGCCTAATGAAAACCAAAAAGAAAAAAAAAAACTGTCTTCATTATGGAGTGTGGGAACCGAAATTCATATTGTTGATTTAGGAAAGTAAAGTAAATCATAATTTCCTAAAGGTCCCGGATAATTTAAACAACCACACGTTGCTGCATTGGTGTTTTCACTCCCCACCATAACCTCAAGTAATTAGAAACACGAGATAAGTAAAGAATAAGTATAATAAATCGAAAAGAGAGCAAAGTGATCTTATTCTGAATATGTGGAAGAGCGTTACAACCAGGTAAGAGTCTCGGTTGCAAGAACTATTGGCGAAATTCTCTAGATCTAACAATCTAAGACTGCAAAAAAACCTAGTTGATTCGAAGCTCGAGAACAAAAACGAAAAATGCCTAATCGCTCTAAGTGTTAAGTTTGTTGTGTATGTGTCCCCCCTTGTTCTCTCGTCTTGAATCTCCTTATATATTCCTCCTAGGTTGGTTTAGCCCTTCTTCTTGCCGCCAGGCCCATGTTTATCCTTCCGCGGAAATATTCCATTTTTTCCTACTCTTCGTGATTGTCCTTGACATTTATCTTCGGAAATTTAACATTTATCTTTTCCTACGAAGAAAAGATAAACCGTCATAACATTTATGGGCTGATTCCCGTATAAAATCGTAAGTGGGCTTTTAACCGCGTTTAGACCTCTTGGGGCAGTCTTTCGGTTTTATGCGTATTTACGTTTTCTTTGGGAACGACCTTGATACGACGCTGGTTTAATAAAAGTCCGGATCATTCATGTACTAGGGCGGTTAGAGCTTAGAGTTAACCATCGCCACTCCATACAAACGATCATAATTTATACGATAAAACGAGTTTCCAAGGTTTTTATTGTAAAATCTTAAAGATAACTCCGATTAACGTGAAATGAAAGTCTGTATGGCAAGAGAGCGTAAAGAAGAGCATCGAAGACAAAACAAGAATGCATTGACACTGGTTCGTGCATGGACCGGTCGCCATATGACGACCAGGTTGGATGACCAATCGGTCGGTTTTGACGTCTCGGTTGTTCCTTTGACTTGTTCTCGCTTGTTAAACGATACTTAACTTTCGTGATCTCGGGTAAGACTATTTTGAAATTTTATTGTAAAAGTTCTTTGGTAAAAACTTAATTGAGAGTTACTGTCGTGATAAGCATTTGTTGTAGACTATCCGGCGTTGGCTCCATCGTGACCGATTGTGACCTCAACAGTTAGCTCCTAGCATGTTTGAATCGTGAATCAATGATGTGGGATTCTAGCGTGCAGCTATGCCACTTTGGGAAGTTTGGTTAGTTAGACGAAGTTAATGCCCGAAAGTTCAAAAATGAATAGTAGTTTTTCATGCCTATAAGAAGGGGAGGTAAGTTTTCTCATATTTTCACTTCTTCATCTCCACAAGGAAACTTAAGAGAAATTTCTCTCTCAAATTATTTCCTTTCATTCATTTTCTCTCTCTCCTCATTTTTAGAAAAATGTCTTCAAAGAAGAGATCCTTGTTTACCTTTTCTTTTTATTCAAGATTTGAGGGAACTTAATCTACCTTTTTGACTTTTTTTTTATTCAAGAACCGACGTGACATACTCATCTACAGTATAACCACTTTAAATTAATACTCTATAAATTAATATACACTAAAAATCTTTAGTATAATTTTATAGTCTCAAATTGAATTTTTGGTTCAATTAGTATATCGATAAATCCATATTCTCTATAAATTAATAAAAAGTTATAATTTTGGTGTAATCCCAACATTACTAATTTATAGAGGTTTCATTGTATTTTGATAATTTTTTATATTCACGGATGCAAAGCCTACAATGTATTCATCTGGACCTGAAGATATAGGTTTTTATAATAATCAGTCGAGGAAAGTAATATATATCACCTCGAAAAATAAATGAAGAAAATCTTATCTCTCACTCCAAAAAAATAATAAAATTACAATAATAAAAATTATTAAAATACATAAATTAAATCTTACCTCAACAATATAAGATTAGAGCTTCGTGCTAATAATGAATTATATGGTAAGGTTGAGTTTATGTCAGATATTTATGTGCACAAAGAAATACAAATAATACGAGAAGAGAAGAGGGATGTGACGTGAGAGAGTTAGTGGGAGAGAGGTTGCACAAGTAAGACAAAAACCACTTTGGTCGGAGTTTATTAACTTTCACATTCATATCAGAATATATTAAATGAAGAAGTGAACATCCTACTATATATTAAATCAGAAGTTACTT